TTAAAGACACGTTTCTTTTATGTTTTTTTGAAATTCAGTTTTTATTGTATATTTGTGCTTTTTTATCGGAATTAAATTATTTAACATTCTTTCGAGAGTTCAGGACATGAAAATAAGCTGCATCAAAAAGCGTTTAATTACGTTAAGAATGAACCAAATTACAAGCCTCCAAAGATAGGCATGTCAGGCGGCAACCAGGCAAATTTTGCAACTTTGGGGGGGGGGGGTTGTAACTTGGCGGGGAATCCACTTTTCTAAATTTTCTTTTCGGCTTTCTTTATGCTAGCTCAGACTCTACTAATCAGCAATAAATGAAAAAAATCTGAGAGAGTGATGTACGAAGGTGTGCGATTTGGCACGGAATGGCCCATATATAAATGTTGCCATACGGAAGATAAAATTTCGGAGACAACGCAACTACGGATTCATTGTCCCGCCAAAATGCACGTTCGTGTTGAATCGGGAACGAACTGTTCATCAAAACCCTTTCCCCTACATTTATTTCGCGAGCATACTTTGTGACATTTTTGACAAAGACGCTCCGACTTTCTGTCACGTTAAAAACGAATATAGCGCTGTTATATAAATACATTGTAACCTTAAAACCCTACGGTTCGTCACCTCGGAAAAACAAATAATTGGCGCCATAGTTCATCCTCACCTTCAAATAGCTGCGATATTCAGCACCAAAATGTTTGCGATCAACGAAGAGTTTTTGGAAAGGTTTTAGACTGTTAAATTCCATGAGTTTGCTCTTCTTCTTCTTGGAAGCATTATTGTATTACATTCTAGTTCGTGATTATCACAAAGAATTGTCACTTCAGTTTTTTTAGAAGCTACTAGTGCTGCTCAAAAGAAATATGGTTTGCTGAAACTTGAATGTTAAATGAGGCAGTTTATTTGTAGATTTACTCATTCAACAACAGGAATGTACTGATTAGTTATGGGACTGGGCTAGTGTTTAAGCTTTTTTTTCGTGTCGCTTATGAAGAATAAATTCCATTGTTGCCGTTACAGGTACTCTGCAAATTATGGGTCTCACTTCTAGCAAAATTTCGGCAAAAGCCAAAATTAATCTAATACCAGTAACTGGTACTTTGGCATATAGATGCTGTGCTTAATTTACCTTGGAAGAGCGACAAGTGTAGGGACCAAAAAACTAAACGAGATAGAATGGTTTAAGAACTCAGAAGAGTACCACAAATGAAAGGAACGTCTGATTGGAAAAAGAGGCATTTCTAGGAGGATAACAGCAGCAAGACGCAGTGGAAGGAGGAAGAGACAAAAAAGCAGTTGTCTTCATCTTCAGACCCTTGTCTTTTTTTTACGCGTTCAACCAAGTCCTTATTGTTTTAAACAGTGAACATTAATACCGATAGCTACTGACATGTATATACAGCTGGCGTAAAATACGCTCGGAGATCTTTTAAAGGAATTGTGTTCTAGTGACAGTGTAACGAAAAAACGAAAAAGCGTGTTGATAACAGACGTAGGGACGTTGCAGCAGGTTCTTAGGCCTTTGAATTTCTTGTAATTACTAATGTTTACAATTTTTACCGTTGCGACTGGTATCTTATGGGCTGCTCATACTTTACAGAGTTGCGTTAGTCAGATAGTAAGAAAGTAACTTCTCAGAAGTCCATCCAAAAGAAAAAAGAAAACAACGACGGCGTAATGAGCATTAGCAGGAGTTGATAACATTCAAGGAACCCGCCCACTGAGGAAAGGCGTCGCGCGTGCACCTATCAACTGTAAGAGAGCCCAAAGCGGTAAGGGGGGAAAGTGAGTGGGAGGGTGGGGGGGACGTGATTCTAAGGGATTCTGGGCTTACTTCCGCTGCATTCCTAATTTTCTTAGTTCTGTTCTCTTTTCTTGATGAAAGTTTGCACTTATTATCCACACAGATGGTGGGATAAAAGTAAAATTTGTATTGTTTATTTGTTCATTTTGTATCTCGTTAAAAATAAAGATTATCTTGTTCATTGTTTCCTCGAAAGTATTAAATTCCTTCATGAGAATTTGCTTGTTGGGCCAGTCGAACAATTACTGTTTCAAGCTTACAGGCTTCGCACAGTGTATAGTTTCTTTGCGTGTTTTTTGAAGTTAACCTAGAGCAGCCGTTCCACTCTTTGAACAGCTTATTTTTTCTTCGTACTTAAACATCTGAAGATGAAAGTCTCATTGATTTTTCATGATGTCAGTTTAATTTTTACAGTAATCTCCTACTATTACGAGGTTATATTTATGCGTCAGGTCGGCTGAATTCGGCGAGGAAAGCTAATGGTCAGGTTGAAGTACCCTCACGGGTTCCAACCAATAACGAAAAAGCTCAAAGAAGGCCAAGTTATTGAGCGCTTAAAGGTGAATTTCTTTATGTGATTAGATTTAGAGAGTTCAGCGTTATTTTTCACAAGTATTTATTGTTAACAATCTTTAGCACGTTTGTCATCCGCATATTTAGTCCTTATAGCTCCTTTTCTATGTCTGAGACTAGATTGATTTAGAGGTATCTGTTTTTTAGGCATTATGCGATTCGACTCGTAGAGTTTTAGACGAGAAAACCCTTTCTGAGTGTCAAGACTCAAAAGAAACCACTGAGGAGATAGGTTTATATCAAAATTTATTGGAGCATCTGACATCGCTAGACGTATTTGAAAATCCTAGTTCAGATGAAGTTTCTATCTTATTAGCTTGCTGTATCGCGAATATCTTTGGAATCATTTCTCCAGATGTTCCACTTAAGGACCCTGCTGTACTGAAGGTTATTTGTCAACATTTTTTCGCTGTGTAAGGATGTTGTTTTTTGAGCTGTAATTTTAAGGAACATATTAAACACATAAGTACCTTCAAAAAATAAGCTGATGTTGAAACAATAACACAGTTTTGTCATAAAGTTTTAAATTTATTTTCTGCAAAGTTTCTCTACCGAACACTGACTTTCTTATTCTGATATGAGTTACCATTTGTTGTTTTATAAAATTTATTTCATTAGTATCTTAATTAGAGGGTTTTTCTACGATACCGCTCTTTTTATTTGTCTTATTTGGAGTAAAAATGAGGTAAGCTTATTTTTATTTCTTGACGACCATATACTTCTAAGTATCTTTCAAAAATCGTCAGTGCTTGTTTTTGTTTTTGTTTCAGGAAGTACTGCTATTTTTTGTTGGACAGTTCAGTGGGTTGTCACGGACCAGCAATGAGTTGTACCCCCGCTATTTATATCTCCTTGAGGTAAAAATAAATATTGTTAGTGGAGTTTCTAGAATAGTTGTGAGATTTAACGGCTAGTTTTATGCCTTATTTTTTAGTGCATTGCTGCTTTCAACATATTTGATCTTGCATTGGAACTAACAGGTGATGATACTTCGTCAATTCTTAAAGAACTTATAAAAAATGGCTTTAATGCGGTTAAAGAAAAGCCGGAGGATGATAGCAGACACGTACAAAGTATGATTATTGCGCAGTGTTCCCAACTACTTCAGCGAATTGACCAAATTTCGAATCCCATCATTGATGCAATTTTTTATTTCTTAGTACCTCCGCAAAAGGTTAGTTTTCAATAGTTCATTTATTTTTTGGAACAAATATATATATATATATATATATATATATATATAT